AAGGAAAAAACCAGGAGGGTGGCTACCTCTGCTCAAGCAAGAAGCTGTAGCACACTGAATAGGATACAGGGCTTATATAGAGCTTCCTTGGAAGGGGGTAGAATTTTTCAGGGTGAAGCTTTCCAGGGTGGAGATTGCTGGGATTTCATGTCCAGAGAATGAGCTTTTGCTCTGCTGGGTAGGGGCAGGGTCCAGCAATTAGGGCAGTTACAGTATTCTGTGGGTGGAATCTGGCAGTTAGAGGTCCTCAGGGGAGGGGCCACACTTATGCTGCTCAAGAGGCTTACAATACTTCCCTGTCCACACCTGTCTCTACCAACTCATCTCTAGCTCTGCCTCTCTCCCCTGTACACTCACCACTCCATTTCTCCATCTTTCCCACCTCTCCATTGCATATTCATTCATAGTAGTGACACATTTGGGCAGTGTGTCACAGAGTATATTTTTTTGCCCAAATAGCTTTAAGTGGAAATATTCATTGCCACAAGTCTTTGGTCTGGTTCAAGGTTTCTGGTTTTTAAAACACCATAAATACTGGACCATTGCAGAGACTATCTTGGATATCCTGCCATTTCCCCATCCACTCAGGTTTGTCAGTTAACCATATTAACGGTAGGGCTGTTGGTACCTTTGAAAGGTCAACAGCTGTTGTGCCCTGCTTATGCACTACCTGAACATTCTGTGATTGTTCTTGATAATACCTTGCAACATTTTTCTCAGAAGTATTCTTTATTTTATGGGTTGTTTCTGACATTGGAGGAATGTTAATCTGTGTTTTCCATTGCTGCAACAAAGCACATCCTCATAAATTTACTGCTATATTAGCCACATATATCTGTCCTCTGGCCCTATACACTCTACCCACCTTGAACTTAGTTTTACCTGAGATAAAGTTCCAATCCCTAGAAGTTGAATATTTACCTCCTGAAGAGGCAATGTAATGCTAAAGTTTTGATGAAATTACTGTTACATCTGCTCCTATGTCTACTAAATTTTTAATTACAATGTCATTTATTCCTCTTTTTAAGCTTTGGTCTTTGATCATTTATAGAAGTTTGCAAAAATACTTGTTTTCTGGTCTCTCCTGAATTTTTTGTTTTATCTACTGAAGCTATTTGGTTCTTGATGACATTCAGATCAGTATGTTTTTTTAACAACAGGCATTAAGTCTTTTAATTCCTCTATGAATGAGTTTCTCCAATGCTGACAGGGAATAATTGAACCAAGTTTGATATTGGGGCCGGTGGGAGTCCCCTTAAGGTGTTTCCTGCTGGCAAAGGGTTGCCTTGCCTGTCCTTTGTTGATCAGTATTCATTAGTCCAATGCTGGCTTCTGCCACACCTTCTGCATACTCCAGAAAGCTGGGGTCTTCTGTTTCGGTTATCTCTAGAAAAAAACATTGCTTCTAGGAACACCTTGCCTATAATCCCTTTTCAGATACCCTTGCTTACCACAAGTAAAACATCTGACATTTTGATTTTTCTTAAAATTTTTAGAAATCATTTCTTCTATCAAAGTAGCATCATAAATGGGAGATCCAATATCAGCTGTATTTCTAATCCATTCATCTATGGGTACTGATCTTGCCTTTAAAGGCCTAATCACTTGTTTGCATTCTGAATTAGCACTTTCAAAAGCCGAAGATTCAACTGCTATTTGTCTAACTTCTGGATCTGATATCATTCTATTTACATTTAAAGTCAATCTTTGCAAAAAATTAATAAAGACTTCTTTTGCTCCTTGTATAATTTTAGTAAAAGACTCCGACTTCTTTCCTGATTCTTCAGCCTTGTCCCAAGCACTCAAAGTTGCTATATGGCATAGGGCCAGGATGTGATCATCAAATCCAAACTGTCTTTGTAAATCACCATGCTAGCCTTCACCAAGAAGCTGGTCTTGGGAAATATCAATACCTGTAGTGCTATTCATTGTTCTATGACCCCAGCTTCCTCTCTCCATCGTGATTTTCATTGAAACTGAGGACCAACTTCCAGTGTAGCTAAATCTTTCCAGTCTTGAGGGATAATTCTGTTCTTAGTTGTCTATGAATTTAACATTTTTCACATAGGGTGAATGCATATCATATGTACTGACCACTTCCTTAAATCTCCACAAATTTAACATTTCTGCAGGATTCCATTTAACTTCAGCATAATCTTGGATGTGCCTATCATCTGCTGGTCATTCTTGTATACTAACTGTATAAATTGAGATTGGTTTACTAATAACTTTGGGCCATCCCTCTTTAGTTTTATTATGCAGTGGTACAATAGGTTCTTGTCTAAAGTCCTCTGTGTCTGAGTATTTTTCTTACTTTCATTAGTAGGTCTTTCTAAAGCTTGTATATTATCAGTAGTAAGTCTTTGTAAAGCTTGCATTTTATCAATAGCAAGTCTTTCTTAGGTTTGTATCTTATCAGTAGTAAGTCTTTCTAAAGCTTGTATCTAATCAATAGTAAGTCCTTCTAAGGCTTGTATCTTATCAAATTTTCATATTTGGCACAGTTATCAAACCACTCTTTAAGGATAAAATATGAATTATCAAATTGATAGTATTTGCAATTAGCATTATATCAATCCCAGCTAAGTGGGTTATTCCCTCATTTATGTTTTTCCATTTTCAAGCCATCCATAGTGGCATTATACAGAATCTTAACTCCCTGCATTGTGATACTTCTAATTCTTAACATGGGAAAGAATTTTCTTTTTAATATTTTCTAACTCTCTCCTTAAGGACTTCCCAGGTGACTCACCAAATCTGCTGACTTCTCAGTCTGTCCAAAGTAACAGTGCTATCTGCGGTGGGCTCGAGCCTCTCCGGAATCCCATAAGCAGAGGCAGCCTACTGATTCGAACCCCCTGTTTGTGTGGTCCCACAACATATTGGACACCAAATGTTGTTTTTCTGTCTGCACAAAGGCTGCACTTTAACCTACTGCTGATTCAGCCAGTAATTGTGGCTCCGAAGTTATTGGCCTGCTTCTCTGTCAGTGGCCAGGCCATTCAGGCCACAGCCTGGTGGGAATTCCGTCCCTGTAGGCACTGAACCTGTAGCTGCCATCAAATATAGCTTTTAGTTAAATCTCTATTATTGTTCTCTTTATCAATAAGACTTAGTAGTCAGAGGCTGGGGTGAAAACCTGATAGCTTAGAGAGGTTGATTAGTAACTACCTGACATTCTTCTTAGCCAGTGTCTCTGAAAGAGACCATCCTCCTGCTTTGACAAAACAAACAAAAAAACACCACAGGAAGTCCCTCCCCACTACTTCCTGTGGGTCTCTATCATCTTCTGAACTTTCTATGATTACTTTCTGTCAACTAATTGCTAACTCAGCCTCCTGACCCAAGGTTGATTTTATTTGATTAACACAAATACAAAGTCAGTGTAAACAGTGTGATTGAATATCTGGCAACACTTTCCAATTTCTAAAAGAAGTATCATCATGATCATAACCATCAGTAATATTGAAGCAGGTCTCACTGGTAGACCAGGCTGGCCTGATGCCCACAGAGATCTGCTTGCCTCTGCCCACTGAGTGCTGGTCTTCAAGGCCTGTACTGCCACACTTGGCTTTATTTTTATTATTTTAAATTAGTGTATGAAGACATGTCTGGGTGGGGGAATGTGCATGCGAGTGGGTTAGGTGCTCAAGAAGGTCAGAGGAGTCTGGCCTTGGAGTTGGAGTCACAGGCGATGTGGGCTGCCCAATGTGGGTGTTGGGAACTGAACGGGTCCTCTGTAACATCAACACATGCTCTTAAACTGTATGCTATCTCTACATCCCCAAGTTACCTATTTCTAGATGGAAGTTTGAGGAATTGATTCCTCTTGCTCTCTTTCTCTCTGTCTTAGAAGACAAAGGCTATCCCCTATCCCCACTCCCACTCCTGGTCTCAGGTCTCTCCAGTTTCTCTTTCTTTCAATCTTTTCTCCCTCAACTCATCATGACCATCAGCTGGGCGGTCTGGTGCTTGCTATCACAGAAGTGGCTGGGATGCAGCTCCCAAAGATGTTTATGGTGGCCTCCGAGGACATCATCAGTGACAGGAAGATTCTGAGTATTGGATTCTGAGAGCCTGAGATGCTAAGATTCAAAACTGCAGACACAGCAGTTTTAGGATTTGATAGTTTTGTTATCCAAAGTTCTGATTCCCCTGAGTTGAAGTTTCTAGAGGCCTTTTAGGAGATATCCACAGGGATGATATGGTTTGTTTGTGATGCTGGGTTGCTTGCCAGAGTGTCTGTGAAAATACTTGTATGGGGATAGGGTCCCCTCAGCACCATGTCTGCCTGCACATCACCATGTCCTGCCATGGTGATAATGGACTAAACCTCTGAAACTGTAAGCCAGCCCCAATGAAATGTTTTCCTTTGTAAGAGCTGCTGTGGTCATGGTGTCTCTTCATAGCAATAAAACCCTAACGAAGACAACAGCACACATCAGGCCTTTGAGTGTTTCTGGCTTGTCCTCCAGTCCCTTTCTCCCATCTCATCATAGGAATGCTGAGGTTACAGACTGTGCCACCATATCTAAAGTTGTACATAGGTTCTAAGACTAGGACTCACGCTGTTGGGCTCATGTGGTAATCTATTCATCTACTGAGCCATATCTTCAGCTCTGTATGCAGTATTTAATTTATGATGCAAAGGGATCTCAGGCTGATGTGTTTGTAATCTCCACCCTTGAAACCTGTAAACTGGGCTGGAGGACATGTTGCCCTTATATGGTTTGAAGTACCAAATGAGAGGATGACGGGACAACTTGGGCAGAGCTGACAAGGAACCCTTGCTCAGTGAATGACAGCTGTTATTACCACTGTCCAATGCATGTTATTTGTTTTATTACCATTACAGTTTAAGTAGGTGCTTAAATTTTCTTCCAATCATGTGGTCCCTTATTAACTCCCCAGTTTTTACTTTTCCCCTTTGCTCTGCCTTCACTCTTGCCTCACTCCAGACTCTCTCCCTCCCTCTTGCTCCACCTTGGTTGAGCCCAGAATCAGATGGGCAGGAAGCTCATGGTGTAGTTTGGTACGATCCTGGTAAATCCCAAGGGTTTGGGGGTCTCATTGATGTCTTCAAGTTTCTTCGGGAACTTGAAACGGAAGTTCTGCAGGATGGTGGTGAGGAAGAGAAAGAGCTCCATCCTAGCCAGACTGTCCCCCAAGCAGAACCGCTTTCCTGAAGAGGAGAGAGAGGAGGAAGGCAGAGGTGGAGGCAGCTCTCACTGCTGCCTTGCCTCAGTTACACAGTGCGCAGTGTATCCTCTTAGGGAGAAGGGGCTGAAGTGCTGGAGCATGAGGGATCATTAGAAAAGACTCCTAAGCCTCTCCGAATCTCAGTTTCCCTATATACAAAGTGGGGTGACCCATTCTAGGCTGGAGCAAGGGAAGGTCAAGCTGCTTCCTCTACCAATTATACTCCCGACTGTGGACGCTGTGCTGTTTTCTCCTTCTTTAAGACTCTGAAGAATTGCTTGTATGACCCACGAAAGATGGCAGACTCAGTTGGAGCTTTGTTTTTTTCCCCAGTCTCTGGAAGGAGTCCCATTGACCCTTTGACCTGTGTCCAGATGCTTGGTGCTTGGAAGGTGCGGGGGTTGCATCTGGTTGGCTGGAAGTTAGATTCCAAGAGGAACCTGATGCAGAAGAAGGATGCTAGACTGCATCCCAGAGAGGGGTGCTGGCATGAGCCACCCCTGTTGATGTGAGCAGTGGTCCAGTAATCCAGTGTTTTCTTACCTATGGAAAAGGGCACAAAAGCAGCATTCTTCTTCAACTGCCCCCTGTCATCCAGGAAGTTTTGGGGGTTGAAATCGTTGGGACTAGGGAAGAACTTTGGGTCTGTCAGCAGAGAACCTAATATAGGGAACACTTCTGTGTCCTGGAAGAGAGAAGGAAGGAGATTTGAGAAGGTGGTTTGATGGAGAAAATACCCACAGAGGTGCTACGGTCCCAGGTTAAAAGAACTGGAACTCACCGAGTTTGGGAGCCTCTGAGGGAGGGGCATTAGGGAGTGTGAGTTTAGAGGGGATGTGGTGTGCATGACCTGTGGTGTGAGTTTTGAGCTCAAGGGGGTGCATGTTCTGAGACAGGCTGTTGGAGTGACACAGGCCTTTGCCTCTCCAGCCCAGGAGTTGAGGGATTGGTAGCTATCAAGGCAGAAGAGTGGTTAGAAATCAGAGTTGCATCCCTGAGGTAGGGAGTTGAGGACATGGGGATGAATGTCCCGAGGTGCTAAATCAAGGTGAAGTGACAGTAGTCTACTCAGAGGACACTGGGGAGGCTGACATGGCAGCTGGGGGATTCTTTAATTGGAGGAATTGGAGTTGGAGTCAGATAGCTGTAGGTGAAAAGGGGCATTGGGGCACCAGGAAGTGGGCTGGAGGCCCCTCCTGGGTAGATATGGCTGCACCTTGGGGAGGAAGAAGCCACGGAATGTGGTGTTCTTCATAGTCTTTCGAGGAACGCCCAAGGGAGCAAGGTTAGCATATCTCTGGATCTCATTGATCACAGCCTCGGTGTAGGGCATCTTCAAGTGGTCCTCAAACTTGGGCTGTCGGTTCCTGCCAATCACCCTGTCAATCTCCTCGTGGACCTTGGCTGGAGGACAAGGGGAATTGTGTTTAAGACAGGGAACTCAGAGCAGGTGGCATAGTTCAAACATGGATCCGTAAATGACATGCATACAGACCATTCGAATACATCGCCATACCTAAATGCTAGCCAATGTCATTTGATCCTTTCCACAACAGAATCATAGGGGATGGGGAGAACAGGGAGGAGTGTCAGGGCATGCACCAGAGTGCAGGAGTCTGGCAGCCAGTGGGAAATCAATTTGGAAATATCTAACATTTCAACAGCTGGTGAGAACCCTGTTCAAGCATTTTATACCCACCCTGGCTCTGCACAGCAGGGCATGTCTGAGCATTTAGGGACCTGGGAGGGGTGAAGGTCATCGTGGTGAGCTCAGAAAAGAGGTTGGAACATCTGTGGTTCCCCACTTCCCTGCCCCAGAGCCAGACTCACCTTCCACATCTGGATGCTTCATGAGCAGCAGGAAGCCATAGCGCAGCGTGGAGTTGATGGTCTCAGAACCAGCAAAGAAGAGGTTCAGTGATGTCATCACCAGGTTCTTTATGTGGAACTCTGAATTGGGGTTCTTATCCTAGAGAGAGAGGGGGGAGAGAGAGAAAGGGAGGGGGAGAGGGAGGGAGAGAGGGAAAGAGAGAAAGAGAGGTAGAGATAGAAAGAGAGAGAGAGAAAGAGAGAAAAGAGAGAGAGGGGGAGAGTGAGAATAAACCCATTCATCAGTTCATCATTCCCTTGGAGGACATCAAGGGTTATAATTTTCTAAAATTTTTCTAGTCATTCTTTTTACAAATATTTCATTAATTCTTTGAGAATTTCATTCATTGTACTGTGAGTATATTCAAACCCCTCCCCCAAAATCCTTCCAGATGAACCCCCTTCCATACACAGTGAACCTTGTGTCCTCATTTCTCAGGCATATTTTTGAAATGTACTTTGAACATAGTCCCATTTATTATCTTCTCTTTTACCATTTCTCCTCCCATTGAACCCTTTCTTTTTTTTTTTTTTTTTGAGACAGGGTTTCTCTGTGTTGTTTTGGTGCCTGTCCTGGATCTCACTCTGTAGACCAGGCTGGCCTCGAACTCATAGAGATCCGCCTGGCTCTGCCTCTCAAGTGCTGGGATTAAAGGCGTATGCCACCGCCACCAAGCCGAACCCTTTCATATTCCTAATAAGGAATTCCTAATTCCCCTCCAACTGTTGCCATTTTTTGTGACCCACTGCTTATAATTAGGACCGTCTGCCTGAGTATGTGTGAGGGGGTCTTTACTTGAGCCAGGGCAATTTATTAGCAGCCACATGACTCAGGAATATGAGTTCATCTTCCCTCAACAGTCATCAACTGCAGATTAAGTTCCTCAGAGAGGCAGGTAAGGGTGTGGTGGGGGTTGGGCACCACTTCTGGAGTTGTCTTTGGATCCAGCTCTCAAGGGTCCAGACAAAGGTGGGAAAGGTAATCTCCAGGTCATGTGTGGAGTCCTGGATCTGCATGGGAGTCTTTGCTCCTCTCTAGTCAACTGTCTGTCCTTTAACGGTCACTCTTTTCATGGCGGCGGTAACATTTAGCAAGTGAGGGGTAAGGAGAGTGAGAAAGAACTCCACAGGTGCCATGATGGAGTCTGTCATTGGAGACAGATGTGAGACAGACCCAGAATTTAAATGTCTCTCTTTCCTCAAACAACTCATAGAAGAGTCCCTAATCAGACCCTTGACCTTCACGCTCTACAGAATTCCATGTCCTTTCTTCCCAGATGTGAAACCCTTTGATGTTACATAATAAACCCAGGTTGCCTGGGCCACTGATGTGTATTTCAGAACCAAGATGTGAAATGATAAGATTATGGTGGCTGATAGCAAAAGCCTTAGAGCCAGAGAGGTAAGGGTTTGTGTTAGTGCATGATGTCAGGCAGGCCATTTTCAGCACAGTTTCGTCATTTGTGAAATTCAGGCTCCACAGAGTCCTTTTCAGTAGTTTCTGCAGATGCTAAGCAAGTGAAGAGTGGAATGAACTGAAAACAGTGTCTTGCAAGGGAATGCTGGAAAATGGGTTGGCATGGTAATTTGCTTGTCAGTGCCCTGGCTTGGGTAGGGCTCAACTGATGGAAGAGTTTAACCATGATTGGGACTGTGAGGAGCATCCCAGGGTCTTAATTGGCCTTGTGCCTGGTTTTGGACCTCCCATCCCCCGGGTGCTGGATCACCTTTTGCATGTGGATGAGAAAGGAGTCAATGAAGTTCCGTGGGGAGTTGATGTCCAGGGTACTCTGGTTCTGCTTCACTTTCCTGGTCATGAAGTCTTCCAGTTCCTGCGTATCCTTGATGATTTTTTGATGTGGTCCAGGCAAGTACTTCAACACTGAATAGAACATGTCGTAGATCTGGGAGTGGAAGAGACAGGATGAGAGAGAGAGAGAGACAGAGACAGAGACAGAGACAGAGAGACAGAGACAGAGACAGAGAGAGAATGAGAGAGAGACACACAGAGAGAGACAGAGAGAGACACACAGAGATAGAGAGACACAGAGACAGAGAGAGACACACACAGAGACACACAGAGAGAGACAGAGAGAGAGAGAGCTGTCAGTGGCAATGCCCAATGGGAATGGGACTTGTCTCAGAGAAAGAGTGTTACTTGGCTCAAGGCATTCATTCAGGTGCTAATGTATTTATATAAAGCTGGGTTACGCACACAGCAGCTGTACTTTTTAAAGAACTCTTTATATTCATTTTGCTATCTTTTTACTTTTAATTATGTGCACATGTGTGAGTACAGGTGCCCAAAGTCAGATCCCTTAGAGCTGAGATCCCTTAGGGTTGGAGTTACAGATGTGTGGTAGTTTGAATGTAATTGGTCCCCATAATCCCATTATCCCATAATTTCATAAGGAGTGGCACTATTAGGAGATGTGGTTTTGTTAGAGTGGGATGGCCTTGTTGGAGAAGGTGTGCACTGAGGGGACGGGCTTTGAGGTTACATCCACTCAGGATACCACCAAGTATGTCAGTCGACTTCCTGTTGCCTGCAAGATGAAGGACACTAGACTATTTCTCCAGCACCATGTCTGCCTGCATGCCGCCATGGTCTCCTCCATGATAGACTGAACTTCTGAACTGTAAGCGAGCCCCCTCAGTTAAATGTTTTCTTTATAAGAGTTGCTGTGGTCCTAGTGTCTCCTCACAGCAATAGTAAACCCTAACTAAGACAAGGTGGTTGATCTGAGAACTGACCTTAGGTCCTCAGGAAGAGCTGTGCAGTGCATGCTCTTAACCACTGAGCTGCCGCTGCAGCCCCACAGACAGAAATTTCATAGGTGGGTTAAGCATGATGTCCATTGTCCAACAATTCAGATGAGGTGGATCAAAAGGGTATACTAGTAGATATTCAGCTATTTAAGCGATTTTGGATCAGAGCCTTGCTCCAGTCTTCCAGCATTCGGCCCATGAGTGTAACAGGGGAATCTAGATGTTTAGACATCTGGGTGGGCTGTTTAGTTGTCTAGATGCTTGTCTGAGAGTAGAATCTGATTTCTAGATAGTCAGGTCTTCAGCCTGGGGTGGTTCAGGTTATATATAAGGTGTGGGGTACACCTGTCAGATGGTGTTTTGATGTGGGCTGTATGGGGCTGGAAGATACTCATTTGGGTGTTTGGGTAAACAGCCTATTCAGAGATTTGTGCTTGGTTGTCTTAGGTGAGGTGCCTGTCTACTCATTTCTGAATTTACATGGGACAAGCAGGTGCCTCTTGTCCAGTTGTCCAGGTGGGATATTTTGGGACAGCTGTATAGGGGCCAAATAACTTTACTGGCCTTGCTTTGGCAGAACCAGGTGCTCAGGATGGAGGAGGGGCCTAAGGTGGTCAACATGTCTCCCCTGGGCAGGCGTTAGGATGTTCAGAGGATTTGTTAGAGATTAAGGTAAACCGGGGAAGCCCATCGAGATTGTTCTCGGGGAATCCTCTGAGATATCCTGATGTCATTAGATTCTACGTACCGGATAGCTCCCATGGCTGCTGAGGTAAAGGTCAGTTGTCTAGGATAAGGGCTGGGGTTAAGGGGAGCTTATGCTTGTGGGGATGAGAGTTGGGGTGGTCCTTGCCCTGTGTGGGTGCCCTGTGGGTACAGGTGATATGGGGCACTAAAAGAGCAAAAGGCAGAGCTGGATTTGGTTACCTGCCCCTGGTCGGAAGCTGCAAATCTGTTCATCTGTTCCATCATGTGCAGCAGGTGCAGGAACTCTTTGTCCTCATAGTCAAAGCGGTCCCCGAAGACAACGGAATTAATGACGTTGGAGACTGTTTGGCTCAGATACGAGGTAGGGTCAATGGGTGCTCCTGAGAGGCATGCCATGGTTGGGAAGACATAGGGATTATGGGGGAGAGAAGAGTCAAGCAGATGATGTGGCCCCTGGCACGAGGGACCAAACTCTGCACCAGCATCCAGTTCTTTCCTACACCTCTTTGCTGCAACTCACAGGTTCCCGGTGTCAGGTCTGTTTCTACTCTTGCCCAAACATGTAAGAGTCTCTTGCTTACCACAGGTGCCCTGCAACATCTTGACCAAACACACTGCCTCCTCCTGGATACGCTCCTCCACACCACGCTTGCCCACACCAAAATCTCTCAGTGTTGCTATGGTGAAGCGCCTGAGTTGTTTGGCTCGTTCCCCGCTGCTGAATGCCACACCTGTAAAGGTAATAACATGGAGGTGGGGAAGTGTAGGGTGATGCTGAGGAAGGCCAAGTACCCACACTGGAGAGGGTTCCCAAGGGGAAAGGAAGGAGGCACAGATAGATAGGGGCAGAGAGAACACAGGAGTTACAAACACAAACCCTGTATCTCACACACACACACACACACACACACACACACAACTGAGTAAGACGTTGGAACAATAAAGCCAGGCAAAGAGAAACAATAACAGCCAGGCAAAAGCAGAGACTCAGAGTACAGGGAGACTAGTCCTCAATATCATAACTAGACTAACTCCATCATGCCCCAAGATGCTGGGTAGTTATTTTGGGTCTCTGAAGTAGCAAAACTGACGAAGAATCCCATGGTCAGACAGTATTTGCTGAAATCAGCAAATCCCCAGTAGAGCAAGGACTGACTACACCAAACATACCCTTGTCCCTGCCTCTGGTTCTGTTTGCCTGGCCTGAGCTGGCATCACCTCTGTACTTTGGCAGTAGATAGTGGCAACCATTTGTGTTTCCCTCGGTTCTTCAAGGGAAGAGCTACCTCCTCTGTGTTAAACAGTAACCACAGAGTTAATGTCATAAAGGTATTTGGCTCTTTGCATGTTTTCTCTGAATTTTGCCCTTTCTTGCTTACAATAAACGTTTTGCTGCTCAAGGCTATGTTGATGTGTTGTAACCTTGGCCAGCACTGGCTGGACTATAACGTTCCACAGGAGTTAGACTCATCTTAGAGGAAACATCTGAGGTACGTAAAACAGCATTTATAAATGCAGGCAGCATCTCAGCACTTAAGAGGGGCCAAAATCTGAGGTGAAGACAAAGGTTGTGGATGATTCCAAGTTGGGCTGGAAACATAAAAACAGGGAGACAAAAAAGCAGAGGGAGGCTGTTGTTTCCAGGAAAGGAAAGGAGTGATGTCAGCCATTCTCAAGTCAGAGGAAAAGAAGGAGAGAAAGAGAAAGAATTATGGTGGAATATGGAAGGTGAAGACCCCAAAATATAAAAACATCAGTCTGGAGAGAAGGCTCAGTGGCTAAGAGCTCTTGTTCTGCAGGTGACCCAGGTTCCTGTCCAGACTGCCTCACAGCAGCTCTCAAGCAGCTGTGATCCCCACTCTGTGAAGTCTGATGACCTCTCTGACCTCCACTGGCACCAGGGACACACAGGGTGCAATACATCCACACAGGCAAACACTCAGACATGGAAAAATTAGGTAAATAAATCGAAAATGTTTTCAGAAGGTAAAAATACCAGCTAAAGATAGATGCCCAGAAGGTGGACATTGAGTGAGAGAGAAGAGGCAGATGGGGTAGAGAGCAGCCAGGAGCAATGGTCACAGATTTGAGACAGGCCAGGGAGGAACCCAGTGAAAGGCAACATTCAGTATGGAAATGGAGAGTACTCTACAGCCTTGAAGGGGGAGATGAGCTGGGAGGACAGGCTACTTAAATAAGGCCAATCTTTGTCCCTGACCACATTTCCCCATGTGGTATCCCCCTCACCATAGCCTTTGAAGAGAGTATTATAGGTGGCCTGTTCGCCTCGTCCACTGAATTCCTCTGCTTGGTCCACCAAAGCCTCCTTGACTGCATCGTATCCATAGAGCACCACGACCCGGCGAGGCCCAAGGTGGATGGTGAACACAGGGCCATAGCGCTCACTGAGCTGATGTGGGTAGATGAGAACTGTTAGATGAGTAGTCCATCTAACTGGACCAGTACACAAAGGTCAGGTACTGTGATATCACCTTACTTGTAATCAACAATCAAATGATTAAAAAAACAAAACAAAACAAAAACAAAAACTGAAGACCAGAGATAGCACCACAGCCTTCCCAATTCCCCCATCAAAAGACTGTGAATCTTCTACCACAAAGAACATGCAAAACCACACAGACTCCCATACTCCCACATCCCATCCATCCCCTCATTAGGTGATACCTCTGTGATGGAGCGGTATATGTCTTTTGTATTTAGCTGCAGGTAATTCCCAATGTAAGGCAAAGGAGTGGGTCCTGGAGGGAGTTTACCCCTGGATTTCTGCTTCCAGACAGACGTGAAGACCATGACACTCAGGTAGGCCAGTATGGCCACCAAGAGCAGCCCTGAGCCCAGCATGGTGGCCAGTGAGAATGACAGGCTGGTGGCCAAAGGTGAGACGCTGTGCCTTTTTATGCTCCCAGGATAGAGGAGGACCTTTGTTCCTATTTATCTAATTGAGTCTTTTTACCTCCCAACTGTATCTCCTAACATCAACCCTGTCTGTGTTGCAATACCCACAACATGGAATGAGGAGGGAGACCTCTGGTTGTCAGGCTTAATTCAAAACACTGTAGAGGTCTTTTCTGGGGACGATCCATTTGATCTCTGGATCCAGGAGATCAAATCCAGAACTAAAAACCTATATTTACATGACTGAGCACATGAAAAGGACCCCATAGATGTGGATACTGTGCTCTGTGATAGAATTCAAATTCTTGGATTTCATTGGAATGATACAGGAAGCATGGCTGCAGACATTGAATCTTAAAAAAAAAAGATTTATTTAATTTTATTTCTTTTAGGATTATATCTTATTAAAATTTTATGCATTTGAATGCTTTTCTTGCATGTATGCCTGTGCAACTCATACACACAGTGTCCAGGAGATATTGATGGATCCCTTGGAAATGGAGTTACATGTGGTTGTTAGTACACAGACCTAAGCTACTGTGTAGGTCCTGGGAATAAAAACCGGGTCCTCTGCAAGAACAAGTGCTCTTAACACCTGAGTCATCTCTGGAGGCCCAGATATTTGAGCCTTTTTATTAGGAGAGAAATATTACTAAGGAACTTAGGGAGGATTCCAAAGCTGTGGATTGGATGGTCACATGGCAAGGAGGAGCTGTGGGTATGGATTTCCTGGTAGAAGTGGATGGGAATCCCAGTAGGTGACTGAGCTGGGCACCTGAACCCAGATGTTGAGTTTGGCATTGATCTTGTGCTGTGTCTTCATGCTAAGTTCCTTTTTTTTTTCTTCAGTTCTTAAAGGAGCCTCAACTTGAGCCTAGGATGAGCAGCAACCTTCCCTGTCTATGTATGACTTGGAAAAGGTAGAAAACCACAGTCATATTTCAGTGGATCTTTTCACAGAATAGAGGAGAATAACTTATCTTGTATAATATTAGGGGAACCAGCCTTAATATTATACTTCCCAGGGGCTCAGGAGAGAGAACTACGAACAGCGAGGACTATTTTCAGGAAATAGAATCTCAGCACACCGAGCTCTTAGTCCAGTCATTTATTCTTCCAAATCTTTTTCTCCATCTTTCCGTGCCCTGGGAGCCCCGGTATATATACACTTATAAGTAGTAATCCCTTGGCAGTGCAAAGCCAGGACTCCAGGGTCAAACGGAGGGGTGATAAGAATCACAAAGAGGGGCAGTAATTGCTAATTATCATTTGCAACCCAAGAGGGAAGTGACCAATGGGGAAATGAATGAACTAAAGGCTAAATTCAGGTAATATCTAAGAAGAGGGATCTTATGTGCTCAACTACATTCTTAAACGTGATTAGTAGAAAATGTTAAGAATCTGTAAGTTGCTAGGTCAATGGGAGAAAATAAAACTGCCTTCTTTTTTCCTGTGGCTCCTATCTGTCCAAGTTATCTGCCGTTTTTCTGCAGGGTGGGGGAAAGTATACTTGGTCGCTAGGCAACCTGTGTACAGCTAGATGCCTCTGGTGATAGTTAAAGGGAGATCTGGAACTAGAGGTAAGATTTAAGAAAGGAGGAAGTTAAGCTTAATTGGCACCTCTGCCAGGCCTTTTCAAACGGGTAGTCTGGATGCTCAAGTCTGTTCTTTTTTTTTTTTTTTTTTTTTTTTCCGTTTTTCGAGACAGGGTTTCTTTGTGTAGTTTTGCACCTTTCCTGGATCTCACTCCATAGACTAGGCTGGCCTCAAACTCACAAAGATCCGCCTGCCTCTGCCTCCCGAGTGCTGGGATTAAAGGCATGCACCACCACCGCCCGGCACTTAAGTCTGTTCTTAGAGAGTACAGAAGTATCTCTGATAAGGTACTTTCCTCTGTCTGGGGATGGACCTGGCTGGATGCTGCCAATGATGATAATTACAGGGAGGCTTGAACTGTGGCTGCGCATAGCTGTCAGTGCACAAGGTTATCTAAATATTCCTAGAAGTGGTTAGGTAAGGAGTTAGAGGTCTATAAAGTTAGTAAGGCTATAAGAAAGGAAGGTCTGAGCTAAATTGTGTCAAGCTATTACTTAAGGTCTACCTGACCTAGGCAGTGTCTCTGTGTGGAATTTACCTTAATTTAGAAGACTTATTATGTGGTGGTTTGGACTGTTATTCCTGTTAGTCCTTGAATGTGGCTAAGGGAGATATCTGATTCCAGTGCTGAAAGGAGAAGAAACAGATGGGCCTGAGGGAAGGAAGTCTTTCCTGAGGCTGTTCTCCAAATACCTTGAATGTATATGTCTAAAGAGTGATCAGTCCACACTGTTAGCACTTTTTAGGGAAAAATCAATTGGGAAAACTATGAAGGCACACATGATTTTCATAACAGAAGACAGCTGATATATAACAAGCCAAAGAACACCAAATGCTCCTTGGAATTTGGCTTCCTCTGGAAGGAATTCCTTGATCCCTTCAGGTAGTGGCTTTGCCATAACCAGCTGAGTTCTTATAATATATTCCTGTGGCCCATAGCAAACTTAGGATTCCAGTGGGTAGAATGTATACTTGGTCAAATGTGTTCTAGCGGCAACTGGGCTGTTTCGATGTTAACTCCACCATGGTCACTCCATTGTCTGGCCCTGATGTTATGGGATATTTATACACTGTGTGAAGATATATCTTCTGTGATTGGAGTAATAAAGAGCTAAATGGTCAATAGCTAGGAAGGAGGTATAGGTGGGATTTCCGGGGAGACAAAGGAAGAGGAGGAATCTAGGCATGTGGGGATGCCAGGAAACATGGAGAGGTGTAAGGTGAAAGTTAAATAGCCACATGCTAAAGCATAGATCAATCAAAGTAGGTTAATTTAAGATATAATAGCTACTGGGACAAGCCTAAGCCAATGCTGAGCTTTTATAATTAATAAGAAGTCTTTGTGTGGTTATTTGTGTCATTTGTTATTGTGTCCAAAGAAAAATCTGACCACAGCCTGCCTTCTCTGGGGGATACATGCGGACCAAGGTTAGCAGCAGATGAGTCCTGAGAATAGCATCAGAAGTGGGTAGAGAGATTACTGTGATATCAGATGGATCCAAGAAATCAGGGACATAAGCTGGCATTGAGATTTCCTCCAGGCTGGCACTCTGGTAGGAAAACAAGTTGGGATTGAATGAGTAAAAATTATCTCTCTACCTCAAAAGGACTCCAAGACTGTGTCCAGGTGCCCACTGGGGTTGCATTCATAAAGGTATAAGGATAGTCACATGTGGAACCTGAGGGTGGTCCTAGCAGGTTTGTATATAAGCATTAGATAGGCGCTGAGATTGGATTCAGTCCCAGCAAAGACTCTATGTAGGTTTGTGGGAAACCATTGATAGTTGGACAATCCAGGGCTGTACTAGCCTTAGACCCTCTCAGGACATTCATGAGGACAAAATCCCTCTCAGGACTGATCTCTTGTTCTAAGTATTCTAGACTGCTGGGCTCTGAAATTGTTGAGGGAGGTGTGGTGGTTTGAAACAAAATGATCCCCAAAGGGAGTGTCCCTATTAGGAGGTGTAGTCTTGTTGGAGTAGGTGTGGTCTTGTTGGAGGAAGTGTATCACTGTGGAGGCAGGCTTTGAGGTCTCATTTATATTCAAGCCACAATGAGATAGTTCATTGTAATACTCTCAGCTCCTTCTCCAGCACCATGTCTGCCTGCACACTGCCATGTCCCACTATGATGATAATGGACTTAACTTCTGATCTGTAAGCCACCCTATTAATTGTTTTCCTTTATAAGAGTTGCTGTTGTCATGGTGTCTCCTCACAGTAATATAAACACTATTTAAGATGGGAGCCAAGATCAATGATCAGGGAACAAATAGAAGATATGAAGATATTTGTTGATTTTGGAAAGGGAAATTTGGGGAGGAGATTTAGCTCTGTGTTAGCAGGGTTAACCTCTCTCATGCCAATCATGTGTCTGCTCCTGGACTGGTCTCTGTGCCAGGGTCCTTGCTATTCCTTCTTTTATAATGACTAGAAAGGAAGACGGTATTGGAAAATTTGTCAATGAAAGTGGCATCAGCAAGGGTCCTGAGTGTCCAGACAAGCTCTGGCAAGATGTAGAGGGAGATGGTATGATTTTCACAGTGGAAGATGTATATGTGAAGAGAGGAGTCATGTGTGTTTGGGCCTTATGAAGAGTAAGATATGGTTCCTTAGCTGCCACTTGAGCTTTTGTGAGATGTGGAACTTGATAAGAATGAATAGTATTACCCCAGGTCAATATTATTCTCCCACAGGAGAATAGAAACCCAGTCTGGAAAAAAAAATTGGCATCAGTTTCTTTGTGTAGTCCTGAAGACTGTCCTGGAACTCTCTTTGTAGATCAGGCTGTCCTCAAACTCACAGAGATCTGCCTGCCCCTGCCTCCCAAGTGCTAGGATTAAAGGTGTGTGCCACCACCACCTGGCTGCCAATTTTTTATATAGCTGCAAATAATTCCATTTTGTATACATAGTTTACTTTGTTTTGCAGCATGTGATACTTGTACTGGCTTGTTTTATATCAACTTGACACCAGCTAGAATCATCAGAGAAGAAGGAGCCTCAGCTGAGGAAATGCTTTCATAATATCAGACTTTGGGCAAGCCTGTAGGGCATTTTCTTAATTAGTGATTGATGGGGGAGGGTCCAACCATTTGTGGGTGGGACCATCCCTGGGCCAGGACGTCTTGGGTTCTATAAGAAAGCAGGCTGAGCAAGTCATGAGGAGCAAGCCAGTAAGCAGCGCCTTTCCATGGCCTCTGCATCAGCTCCTGCCTTGACTCCCTTTGATAATGAACTGTGATGTGGAAGCATAAGGTGAATAAACTCTTTCCTCCTCAAGTTGCTTTTGGTCATGGTGTTTTCTCATAGCAATAGTAACCCTAACTAAGGCAATATTCTTTCTATTAAC